CAGCAATGACAAGGTGACTAGCACATCCCCCTCAAGTAACTGCCCCATTTCTCTCCCCAAATATTAACTGATTTTTAAAAATATTTTTTAGTTATCAGTGGACCTTAATTTTTAAATTTATTTATATGTGGTGCTGAGAATTGAGCCCAGTGCCTCACACATGCTAGGCAAGTGCTCTACCTCTACCACTGAGCCACAACCCCAGGCCAAACATTAACTCTTTCTGTATGGACTTCTAAAACAATTATTTGATTTTCTTTGCCTATAGGGCAAGGAAATATGTAGTTTTTAGTACATAATGCCAAGAATTTTCAATAATGGTTATAACTAACTCATGCTCTCATAGGCAATGTGTGTATGTTCCCTCTGCTTCACGGCCCCTCTTTGATATTGTCAGTCGTTTTCATTTGCCACACTGATTACTGTGCTATGATTGATATTAGATTGTACTATTACTTTAGATTTTTTATGTATTTTAATTTGTTATACATGATGGCAGAATGCAATTCATCTCATATTACACATAGAAAGCATAATTTTTCAAGTTACTGACTGTACACAAAGTATTTTCACACCAGTGGTGTCTTCTACATGTAGTTAGGGTAATGAGGTCTAACTCATTCAACCATCATTTCTTCCCGCCTCCCTTCCCCTCCCTCCCCTTTGCCCTATCTAAAGTCCCTCCATTCCTCCCATGCTCCCTTCCCCTCCCAATCACCATTATGAGTCAGCATCCACATATCAAAGAAAACATTCAGCCTTTTGTATTTTGGGGATTGGCTCCCTTCACTTAGCATTATATTCTCCAACTTCATCCATTTACCTGCAAATGCCATGATTTTGTTTTCTTCAATGTCACTTTAGATTTTTCTGGAGACTAGGAAAGTTGAGTGCCTTTTCAAATATTTACTTGCCCATTTCATATTCTTCTTTGTGAAGTACCTGCTCATGTCTTTTGTCCATTTTCTTTTCTGATGGCTTTTTTGAATTGATTTTAGGGGTTCTTTATATATTCTGCTGAAGTGTTCCTAGTCAGATATATGGATGATAAATATTTTGTTCTGTTGTATGATTTGCATTTTCATTCTATTGCATTCATTCTGTAAGTTTCATTCTATATTTTGATGACAAGCATTTTTCTTTTTAATATAGCCCAGCTTTTTTCATTTCCTTTATACTTAATTTTTTGGATCCTACTAAATAAATATCAGCGTACTCAAAAGCCATGAGATATTCTCCTGTCTTGTACTTAAGAAAAAGTTTCTTCATTTTACCTTCAACTAGGAGAGTATTATTCTTCCTTAGACATCTATTTTTCTATAACTCCTCCACCTAGACAGAGAGAATAAATTACTCCCTTTTCTCAATTCCCATAATTCTATGTATTACTTTCATTTTTCCTATTATATTATGCATTACCTTGAATCATAGATCTCTACCTGTCCACCTTCACTATCAGCATTAAATCCCATTCGCTCAATTATCTACATTTTTCATGATCTTTTTATTGAAACCTGATGTAATGGCCTTAATATCTCTAGAACTGGTCTCTCTCTTTCTACCCCAACTGCTAACTTCATGGTGGAAACTTGTGTCATTGCATCTTGAGAACTCAGTAACCTCCTAGGCTGTCACTAATCTCTAACACCCCTCTCTAAATGATTGCCCACACAGAAGCAAGAGTAATCTTCCAAAATACTATTCTATTCATGCTACTTCCTCTTTCTTAATGTCCACAGATCCCAAATTAACATTCAGCTCATTAATGTGCTGCAGAGGCCTCCGTGAACTTAAAAGTTAACCTTGACTTTCTCACCACTGATTCCTTTGTTATAATCTCATAAGATCCTCAGTTTTCTCAAATGACCCTTGATAAATATGCTTCTATCTGCCTCTGTATCCATGCCCTAACCCCCATTCAACACTCAAATCTCATTCTATGTATTTTTACATAGGAAACTTTTTTGACTCCTTAATAATATCTATATCTATATCTATATCTATATATCCTCATAAAATTTGGTACCACCAATAACACTGATTTTCTTTTCTATTAAAATTCATTACATTTATCGATTGTTTGAAGTCTGTCTTTTCTGATACAGTTTATATTTCTTTGAGGCAGAAATAATGTCTATCTGGTTCACAACTATCATTTTGCCTACTTCATTAGCTAAGATGGATTCTTAAAAAAAAAATATATATATATATATATATATATATATATATATATATACACACACACACACATATATATAATTATTTATAAATTTATAACATACAATTTATTTTATTTAGTTATATATGTATATGTGTGTGTGTGTGTATATATATATATATATATATAATTTGTTGAATTAAACTGATCTGTGACCATATGTCTAGGTTCTAGTATTGGATTTGGCCCATAGTCTCAGTAAAGATTTGATGAATCATCATTATCATAAAATCCTAGAATCTGCATTAATTCAACAACCCAAATTAAACATTGCCTAAATAAACTCTGTAAGATTCTCACCAAATATCAGCTACTTGTAACTCCCAGATAGGAGGGAGTCACTGTGTCACACAGCAGATCATCTCAGGTTTCGGACATGAAACTGCATTAGATGGTCTATTTTAGTTATTTTAGGGCTAGGATGTAGCAATTACCCAGTGCTTACAAGCTTCTGGGTTCAATCTCCAGCATAAGAAAAAAAGAAGAAAGGTAGATCTATTTTATACTGAGTTGAAAGCTGGGATCCTTCTGGTTCCCCCACCAGGTTGTCTTGCACATTTTATTCATAATAATGAAGCCAACTGTCTTTTCTGCAAGACAAGTATCAGTAGACCAGTCCTTGTCATAAGATACCTCCTCCAGACACACTGCAGTTTCTCAACATCCCCCTTAAAGCTGGATGCTTGAACCCAGATCCAGTTCTCCAGGTGTGCTCTGACCAGTACAGAGTAGGAAAAGGCTGTCACCTTCTTTACAGTGGCTAGAATACTTGCAGTAATGAAACCAAGAGCAGATCCACATTTTGAAGGACAGACTCTTATACAATAGTTGCTTTTGGAAGAAAAAAAGTCAAGATTAAATACAAAACTCAATACAAACTTAGAATGAGAAATTGTAAGAACTCCCTGAACATTAAACTTCATTGCCATCAAGGTAGATCAGCCTTTTCTAACTGTCCCTAAGATGTCAGGAAGTTCCTTGGTAGTAACATCTTGCTAATTTCCTATTAACTTTATTCCAGTTGTAACTTTTAGATGTCTCCATTATTAATATGCTGGAAACACACATTGGAGTCCAAAAAAAAAAAAAACCTGGAATCAAATCCTGGATCTCACTTCACAAAGTTGTTGTGGATATCATGCAAACCACCATGTTGAAAACCTGCCACATCCGGGGCAGATCTGTCTTTCTCATCCACTTTCTTAACAGGTATTAGCAAACCATTCTCACCATGCTGTTTACTCTTTTCTTTATTAATGGGGTTAGGTTCCCCCAACTCCTATATGTTAAGTTCTACTGTGTTATGTTTTAACACTATACAGTTATCAATGGCTGAGTTTCCCTGAGAGGGTTTCACTGGGGGCTCCCAGGTGACACTCCCCAGCCCTCCCTGAAACTTTTTCCAGCCATCTTCTATAACAGGAGCATGAATCAAAGAGTTGCCAAGGAACCAGAATATAAAAGTCATATTAGGCTCTGCTTAGCACTACCTGTCAATCTCAACCCAGCTTCCTCCCACTGACATTCAGAATCACCTTTATCATATACCTTTATGGAAGGTCACATTTTTAGTCTGCTTCAAGTTAAAGCATGTCATTTTTTTTCTGACTATAAAGTTAATACATGATCATTGTAGGAAAATTAGAAAAGAAACTAGAAGCCTAAAATAAATTGTCTATATCCTTACCAACCATCAGTAACCTCTTCTAACACTTTGGGATACTTTCTTACAGTATCAATTTTCTTTTTTTTTTTATACTGTTCAGATGATACCATACATTCAATCATAAATCTTCCATTTGTTAATTAATATCAAATCACTTTCACATATTCAGGAAAAGAAATCTTAATAAATAACATTTCAGTACCTGCCTAAAATTATGTTTATGGATGCAACACAATTTGTTTAGTCTTCTCATGTAGAAAATTGAGATGTATACATTGTTTCTTTTAAATATCATAAAATATGCTTCTTAAAACAGCACCATCTGTACTTTGATCCTACTCATTTTTATTCCCTTGCAATCATCTCTCCTCTTTAAAATGTGGATTAAAAAGTTAACTTACTATTGTAAAGGGTATATTTTCTTTAGATAATAAACACACATGGAGCATCTGACATGAGCCTGATATATAACACACAATTGAATAAGTACAAACATTTACAAACATCAACAAACCAATCCCTGCAATGTTTGCATTCTTTACTATCAAGTCTGGGAATATTTTTACTCTCTAAGCTGCTAAAAGTATCTGTGTGTGTGTGTGTGTGTGTGTGTGTTTATTTAAGAATACAAATTATTAACAAATAAGGGGAATGAAAAATTATGGAGAATCAGAAATTCTATAAAATGTCTTATACGTCTTGAGATTCAAATAACACCTGCCAAAACACACTGAAAATCAAGAACAATAATGTAGGAAATTCAGATGATATGATATGCAATTTTAATATATATTAGATCTGGGGCATCTATAAATAATACTGTTTAGACATTTTCATCAAAATAACCAGATAAAGCTCATATCCCCATGTGTTCTATCTGAAAACTAATTAATATCCATAAATTTAAAGCCCTGTATATGTTAAAATTCTAAAAGATTGTATCATATCATAACCGATTTCCATATCTGTAGCTTCCATTGGTTTCCTGTTCCATTGGTTCTGTTCCTCTCTTCTTCATTCTCCCTTGGACTGGACTGGACTCTCTCCTCCCCTACAATACACCCCTGCTGTGTCCCCTCCCTGCCTCTGGCCCCACCTTCCCCATTAGCTTCCTACCTTGAAGGTGCAGTTTGCTCTCCGTGCTTTGCAGAAGGACGGAACTCACAGAGTCCAGATTGTCATAGCTGTTACAGCCCAGAGGCCCAGTGCGTGTCTCTGTGACCTAGAGTGGATGTCAAATAGACAAGTGTGAGACAGACGTCTTTCGCTAGGGCAGACCCTGAAGAGTCATTCCCCAGCGGAGCACAGCCTACAGATAGGTCTTGTGACCTCAGGTCACAGCTGTCTCCTCAACATCTCTCCTGTCAAAGAGCAGACAGGGTTGCAGGATGCTGAAGCACACAGCCTGGAGCCATAGGGCCTGGTTTCTATCCCTGGCCCTCACTCCCTAACTAAGGTCGCTGTGAGTATACTGTAGTCTATCTAATAAGTTGAAGCATTATATATACATTACAGAATCCCAGGCTTTGGAATCAGTAAAATCAGTGTTAAATCCCAGTTGGGTCATTTATTTGCTGTGTGACATAAGGAAGTCATTTAACTTCTCTAAGCTTCTGCAAACTCGAACTTAGCAAATGCTTTCTAGGGAAGCTGTAAGACAGACGTGATGAGTGGTAAGTGCCAGGAGTGTCAAATGCTCAAAATGAGAATTTAATTACAATATACCTCTATACGTTGTAAGGAATCTATAAAACATTATTACCAGGTAAGAACAATAAATTATTCATACTTTGCAAAACAAGCTTGAGCAACAAACAATCAATGCCACTGCAAGAGAAAAGCATTCCGATCCTAAGGTTGTGCATCTCCAAGACACTGTCTTCAATGATGTGAGGTGATGGGCAATTGAAGAACAGTTATTCAAAAACTAACCTTAAAATAAGAACTGTTTAGTCTGAAAAGAGGCCTCTTCATCTCTTTACTTTCCATTATATGTTTTGATGCACTCAACCATAAAGACAGCCTCCATTGTAGAGTGGCAACTTGGGGAACAGTCACAGGTACCTCCTTTGCCCTTTTCCAGTTGTGAAACATTGATCAGTAACTTTCCCCTTCTAAGCCTCATTCCCCTGCTATTAGATGTTACCCCTGCTTTTATCACCTAAACAGGTAATGAGATCATATTTTTGACATGTTTAGCATTTTAAGATGCAAAAAAATAAATGGAAGATAATCAGATTTTATTTTGTTTTACAAATGACTGATTCATTTTTGAACAGAATAATAACATGGTTATTATCAAGTGATAGTTAAAACAACCAATTTTTTAATTAAAGATATCCATGGTGGGAAGGAAAAGAACTAGGCGAAACTCCCCTGACCTGGCTCAGGGGCTGGCCTTGAAGGAATCTGGTAACGAGACAATTCTAGTCCACTGGGTCTTAGGAGAGTAGCAAGAAATGGCTAGAAAAATCCAAGTCCAAATTGAGTGCGGAAGGCAGTGTTCGTGTCAGAATGGTTTCTTGAGAGAACTCTGTGCAATTTGTCTGAGAAATTCCTCCTAAGGAGGAAGACTGCACTTCCTGGATGCACAAAAGAGGATTATCTTCTGACAGAGCTTCAATATCTCAATTCCTCATCCCATCCAGGGGGCAGAGAACTATTTGGTGATAATGAAAACCAGGTCTTTGCAGCTCCCTGACTCTGATGGCTTCATAAAGATCCCTCTCTCAGTGCCGAGTTTCCTAACAACATAATCCCCCCAATATAAGTGATTCTCCTCAGATAAGCTAGCCCTTTGTTTGTGGATCTGATTTATTTCTCTCCTTACTACTTCCCTCCTCCATAACTCTCTCCCACCCACATTTCCCTTCCTGTGGTCAAATTCTGACTCATCTGTCATTTCCCCTTGACCTTCCCTCTGCACCTTTTGTCCCCAAGAGATATCTTGAGAAGTCTTAATATAAGGTTAGGACTGCATTTTATTCAGAAGTCAGAGTGAAGACAGAGAAGCAAAATGCAGGCATAATACAATTTAAGAAATTCTGAGATGGAAAAATCTGCATTGAAACCCCAGAACTAATTCTTTATATCACAAACGTCCTCCCACCTCTCTTTATAGAAGAGTGTCTGAATGTATCTTATTTTAAATAATTTTTTTTAAAGTCCCCATGCTCTAAGGCACTGATTTGAAAGTTCAGGGCTATTCTATCCAGTATGCCTATATAACTTTGAATTAGTAACAGTAAATAAACTTACAAATTTACTTCATCAGTAGCCACATGTCAAGAATTCAATAAACCTGTGTGACTAATGGTTACTATCTCAAGTCAATACAAATTTAGGCATGTCTATCATCTTAGAAGGTTCTATATTGAACAATGCCTTGTGGAAGAAGGTGGTCCCACAAACCACAGTGTGTCCTGTGCCTGCTTTTGTGAATAAAGTTTTATTGGAACACAGCTAAGCCCTTTTATGAACATACAGTCTACAGCTGCTTTTATGATATAACAGCAGAGTTGAGCAAGGGCAGCAGAGATCATGGGGCCCACAAAGCCTAAATATTAATCATCTGTCATTTTACAGAATATGTTTGCTGACCTCTGGTCTACAGAGTTCTAATCACGTTAAGGTATTCTCTGTCTGTATAACCCTGATCAAAAGGCCTCAAACTATGGACCCCAGTTTTACCATCTGTAAAGAACACAAACGTTTTAAAAGATTGTTGATCTAGATATCACAAATCTGACTTTTACTATCTATGTGATCTTGAGAAAATCATTTACCCCATCATAGCTTAGTTTCTTCATCTAGAAATGGGATGTGGAGATCATCCAATTCTTTGAATCAGAGGACTATTGATGATGTCATGGCCATAGCCAGAGTGCTCCCCTACATCAGTGCACATGTTACCCTAACCACAGTGCCCATGAAGCTACAGAGCATGTGACCACCTCAATCAGAGAAGTTGGCATGGGTGCCATGGGTACATGGGCGCCATGGGTACATGGGCATGAAGTCAGGAACTGGATCTGTCCAGCTGCTCTCAGAATGTCTTCCTCTAAGTGCTGCTGCCTTGAGGGCCTGCCACCCAAGTCCACTGTCCAGCCATACCTTGATTGCTCCAGTTGATATCTGGATCTCATGGAGTCTCCTCATGGTGCCATCACGGTCAACAAAGTAGGACGACGCCAGCTGGTGCAGAGCTTCGACGCTTTGAGTGGCATTCCCTGACTTCCTGTCGAGGCGACTTTTGTCCATGTACATGGTCAAAGCCTCCTCTCCTGCATGGGAAGGGAAACAAGACAAGGGAGCCAATGGAGACCCAGCGTGGGAGGAGAGGAACCAGGACCTGGGTGCTGACAAGTGCTGGGCGTTTCTACCTCATTATGTCTTCTTTCTCTAAAAATCAGGGGAATGATGAAAAATCAGCAGTCCCAAGGTGACAGCATGCAGCAAGCTCCATCAGGACAAGGGTCACTGAAACACCCTCAGCCACTGAATCCAATCCCCACTGAATCCACTCTGTACTTCTCACCAGCCTCATCTCACAACATCTCCACTCCCCCTCTTCCAAGAAAGCTCAGTTTCTTTTGTAAAATGGTGGATTTGGCATAGACCTTCCTTTCCCTTTCCTCCCCTTCTTTGTTTCTTCACTGTCTTTCCGTTCCTCCTTTCCTCGTCTTCCCTCCTCCCTTCCTTCAACCCTTCCTCTCTCTCTCTCTCTTCTTAAATTCTCCTGCCCCATAGCATTCTAGATAAACAAGTGTATGGATGGAGAGATAGACACACATATAAGTAGATAAGACATAGAAATTCAGAGGTAGCTAGAGATAGACACAGAGCTAGAACTAGAAATAGGGTCAACTGTGTCCCCATAGAGAGAGGGAAAACTGAACTTCCAACTCTGTGAAGGTATCAGCAGTGGCTTTATCCTGACACACAGCACAGTGCTTTCCACATAGTAGTGGAAAGTAGACATCAATAGTTAGTTCATCTTTTTCTTTCATTCACTCAATATTTTAAGTACCTACCATATGCCAGGCACTGTACTTCTGAGAGTACAAAAGAGAAACGGGTCACATTGGGGGTTGGGGTGAGGGATGATCAGAAAGTTTGATACAGAAAGGAAGGAAAATAGATACTTAGATCTAAGAGAAGGTGGATGGACAGAAGAATGAATGGATGGAAGACAGATATAACATGAATACACAAATTTATAGATTTTTCTCCATAAAGTTTTCCTTGGAAATGCATGCATGCATTAGTAACACTGCTAAGCTATGGTGACTTTTCTTTTGGATAATGAGATCTCTTGGTAACACATTAGGAAGGAAGTTCTACAGATTTCCACCAAATGGACTTCTGCATACCACTACTTCCACTTTCTGATAACATTGCCAGCGTGGGCACATTTTTTCTCTTCTCTGTTTCTCAGTTTATTCACTAGCAATATTGGGTGAAAAGAGCACCCACTCCCACAGGATTACTAAAAAGAATAAATTAGTTAATAAGTGTTTAGAAAAATGTCCAATTCATTGTAGTATTTGAAAATCAATTGGTATGGGACTGGGAGTGTAGCTCAGTGGTAGAACATGGGATTAGCATGCACAAGGCCCTGGGTGCAATCTCCAGCACACAAAATAGGAAGGAAGAAAGAAAAGGTGTGAAGAAAAGAAAGGAGAGAAGAAAAAAGGAAGGAAGGAAGGAAGGACAGATGGAAGGAAGGAGAGACAAAGAAAGAAAATTGATTATTAGTAGTATTTACAATCACAGAGCTAGTCATCCTTGACCTGAACTAGTTGAGCTAACATCTCTGCTTCCATTCCTTCATGTGTAAAGTTGTAATACTGACCATACTTACCTCATAGTGTTGACTCCAGGATTAGGTTAGTTAGTTAGGTAAAGTACTCTAACCCTTCCTGGCAAATAGTAAGCACTGTGGCAGTGTTAGCTACTGTGATTTGATAACCGCAAGCTGACAGTTGTATGATATTTATACATACATGTAATTCATTCATAAAAATAAAATATTTAGAGAACAAAACCTGTCAGTACTTTGTCAGAAACAAAACCTGGTGTCTATGACAACTGCAGCATCTGTAGAATGCTGATTACTTTTCAAGCTGAAGAGAAAAAAAAGCCATCAGCTTGCAGAGGGAATTCTATCCTGTCTGACTTCTGAAATCGTATCCCGATTTCTGGCCCATTCCACTGTCACTTGCTCTTGCTCACCCCTCCTTCCCTGGCACGTTCATTTCCACTCCTCTCTACCTGTTCAAAGAGGACTAGCATCCCCAGCCACACCCTGAATCCAGAGGGAAGGAGTCACCTTCTTTTCGTCATTGTTCAGCATGGCCTTTGGTTAGGCTTTGTGTGCCTGCACTGAGCATTTTGGCAGGCCTTGGGGTGACAAATGAATAAGACACTGGCATGTGCTGCAAGTGTAACTGCAAACCAAGATTGAGTACGAAAAAAAGTAAAATCTTCCCTTAGCAATTTGTTCTCGCGATTGCACGTTGAAATGGTAATATTTTGGATATGTTATGTTAAATATATTATTAAATTGATTTCTTCTTTTTTTTCCTTTTTCTTTCTAAAAATGCAAAAAAAAAAAAAAAAAAATTACAGTGGCATATGCAGCTCTCACTTGAGGACTGCATTCTGCTGCTATTGGCCGGTGGTGGAGGAAGGAGACAGAGGCAGAAGGCGATCATTTCAATACAGCAGGTGAAGAGCCAGGGAAGGGGGAGGCAGATAGTAGAATGAAGACCAGAGAAGGGTGGCCCACATCTCTGTAAATCACGTGGGTCACCAGGCTCTGATGAGCTGGTCTCTCTAGCTGTATCCTCACTGCTTTCTGGGTATGCTCTCTCCCGTACAAATGTGCCCCATTTTCTGTCATTGTTGGGACTCTGCCTTTCTGTTCTTCTACTGGCTAATTTCTACACATCCCTATGTTACCTAACACAGCACTACTTCTGGGGATCCCTCTAACTATCTTCTACTCTTTTCTTGAACTGAGTAACTCTTATAAGGCATGTCCTCATGATTCCCTGTATTTCTCCAATATGTTACCTATCATACCTCCTGGAGATTTCTGGTCTCCCCTACTAAAGCAGAAACACTTTGAGGTCAGGGAGCAGGCTAGAGTCTTTTCCCATCCCCATGGCATTACCTAGCACAATATGGGCATGCATTATGTGCTTAAGAAATGATTGGAAGCCAACAGATGAATAAATGGACACAGAAGTGGACCTACTTGTACCATGTTAATTGACTAACAAATCTGCCTCAACAACTAGACTGACACCTCCCAACAGGAAGACTCATGATCATCCAAGTTCATCTCTAGGCTCCACATGCCTAGACTTGACTTGAATTCAAAGGAAGACACTCCAGTTCACGTGGACTTCTGTTATACATGAGGGCATAATGTTCTGTTCTTTGAACACCAAAGGAGCCTAATAGATTTGACTTAAAAAATGACTTTACATCCAATTATACTTTCAGTTCCAGGAATGATGGGTGGTGAAGTGGGGTAACGTGTAGTATCCATTTCATCTTTTTAATGTTTCTCAATCTTCTCCTAGGTTCTGACAAAAAGCAGATATTCAATTATCATTTGATGGATAAACTGATGGATGGATGGATGGATGGACAGATGGATGGATAGATGATTGAATAGATACACGCATAGATAGATGCCTGGAGAAGTAAATGGTTAAGTAATATGTTGGGAATCAGAGTCACAAGGCAGAGGAAATAAATATTCCAATTGCCAGTTCAGGCTCTCTTAGGGGCCCACAAAGCAGAAGGTGAAACAAGCCCAGTTCCCTCTGGACTGAGAACTGGCAGAAGCAATCCTTAGATCAAGAGGGGTTAATGGACTTCTTGCTGCATTATTAAGACTTAATTTCTTGTTTATTAAGAGAATGTTCTGTTTGGAGTTACTCTGCCACTTGGGCATTCCTGTAAATTGCCTCTTCACCCCACAAAGGCCTTTGCTCAGCCTTCCTGTCCTCCAGGGAGCTTTGCCTCACTCTGTAGCACCTTCTTACAGAAGAGAGCAAAGTAGGATCAGATACACAAGATGGGAGAAGAAGTGGGATTTGATCCGTTTACCTCTGTGTCAATAGAAGGTGTTGTTCTCAGATGGGGAACAAGGCTGTCTGGATTTCAGTCTTCTAGGATATCCCTCTTCCGTTCCTTCTTTAGCCCCTGTGATTTTATTCTCAGCCTTCTGATTAGCCAAGGGAAGATGTCCCAAAACACAGTGTGGGAAATAATGAACGCACACACACTAACATTCACAAATGGATAAGAATCATGAGGCTTCCTATAAAAAATGACATTCATGCAATACACATGATTCATGTACATGTAAAAACACACACATTTCATCCCCATGTATATGTGTGCAATGTGTGCATGCACATATAAATGAGCTTACACCCAAGCATAGACAGCATTTCAGAACATCTTTCTAGGCACATAGGTGTGTACTTCCATGCATGCTGGTAAGCTTAGTCACATATGTCACACACACACACACACACACACACACACAGTCAAACATCTTCAATATGTTTCCTTTGACCCCAAGTTCCATATTCAGAGGAACAAAGGAAAATTACTATCCCTGTTTGTTGTTCCAGGTGTGGAATTTGTCTCTTTACCATCTTCCACCAAGTCATTCGTACCCAGTATTTTTATGAATTTAACAGAGGGCACCAAAAATTTGGAGATCTCAAGAAAATGTCCAAGCTGTTGGACCCCACCACCAGCTCCGCTTCCTGATTCCCACCCCCTTTCCTCTTTCCTTCATTTCTCTAAAAAGCCAAACACACACATTTACTTGTCATGTATGTGACAGTCTAAGAGTCATCTTCCGTTGTTTGATGATGCCCTTAGGAACTGACTTGACACCTCAAAGAGTTCATCACGGCATTTATGCTAAATGATTATGGTGTTCTTGGGGAAAAAAAAACTATAATTAAATAACATTTCTGCACTTCCTCGTATGTAGATGGGGAAACTGATATTCAGACAAGAAAATGAATTTCTGAATGCTTCCCACTCACTTAGTGAGTGCCAAGACTGGGCTTTAATCCTGGATCTGCAAGTTCCTAAGTCCAGATAAGACAATCATAGTAAGAATGCTAACCACATTTAATGCATCATTATATTTAATCCTTGAAATTTACATCAAGTAATATTTTTATGACTACTTATAAAAAAGGAGCCTCAGAGAACTGAGTTATTGGTAGAGGCAACACCAAGCTGGTGAAAGCAAGAGCCAGAACTGGAACCCAGGAGATTAAAATCCTGGCCCCTTCACTCACTACAACTTCCCACACCCCTTCTGTCCCTCTGCATAAGGAGGTCCTTAAGAAGTAATTTTCCATGCATAAATGAATTAAATGATGATATGAGAAGGACCTCACAGGATTTTTGGCACACAGTATTCATTCAACAGTAAACCCTTTTCCTTCCCTCCACTCTTCCATGGCAAGGGCCGAGGGAACGTTTAGGGCCTGCTGTCCGACACCAGATTTCAATCCGAAGCTTTGCATATTTTAAAATGTTGTGTTGTAAAAACAGTAGCGGAACAAGGCTCTGTGAATAATTTACCACCTCGCCTTGGAGAAATTAAAAATATATTTCACTGAGAAAGAAAAGTCTTTGCTACATGGGATTTCCAGGCACTAGGACCAGAGCACAGCTTTTAATGGAAGAACTGAATTAGTTGCAATGATGATTTTTTTTTCCAAGTGAAAGGGGAGGTGGAAGATATTCAAAGGAAAGGGTACAGACTGATGTCACACTCAGCATAGAAATTAACTCATTGTCACTTTATGTTAAAGTAGAATATTTATGAATTATTTTACAAAGTCCTACTTAATTTAATGTCTGAAAACAGACAACAAATATCTGCTGATTGGGTCATTGTTGAAGTGGGTGGGTAGGTTGGAGGGTAAGCGAATTAGTAAAAGAGATAAGTGGTATTAGGTGGATAAAAATACTGTAAGCTTAGAGACTGGAAAACCCTAAGTTAAAAACTTAGCTTTTCCCACTTTTTTTGCTACACCTCTTCCTGGGTTTCCTTACTTATAAAATGAAAATGTTATGACTAAATTGAAGTTTAGAGAAACACAGACGGTATACAGTGTCTATTGTGCAGCAAGAATGAATGAATTTGCCCAATCAACATTTCTACCCACATTATCAAATGACTGATCTTGCCTTCCTCAAAACGGGTGCTGTATGCTCAGCCTAGAAAGTGCGTCCACCTGCCTTTACCTAACAAGCTCCTGTTCAACTAAACCACCACTTTCCGCCATGAAGTTTGGACTGATGGCTCGAGTTCATAGTGCTCCACCCACCTTTAAAGAGAAGATCCACGTTACAACAGTGTCCACCCCTCCTCTGTTAATACACCCATCTCTTTACCTGGCAAGGGCTATGACTAAATGTATCATATCATCTCTGTGAGCAGGTAGCATAGAGTTGTACCATCAAGGTGGTTTTTGTGAAAGTTCAGTGGACCCATTCACCATGGATAGAAACAGATGCCTGAGGGATTGTAACTCATAATATCAACTGATGTGTGCAGGCGAGGCCAGTCAGTATCTAAATGGTCTCGTCTGTACCATTTCCCATGTTTTTTGCATCAATTTCCTTCCTTTTATACAGCTCTGTTTCCTCATTCCCTCAAAGATGGATTGGACCTGATGGGCAGGGATGGGGAAGACTGAACTGGGTAAAGCAATTAGCCTACTTTCCTATTAACCCATTCCAAGCCCATACGAGACACAAATGATAGCCCATTTTTAAAATGATAACTTCCAGTTATGAGTCCCTAAAGTGGACTTACATAAACAAAAGCAATTCCCTAAACAACATCTGAAATTTAATTTCTTCCCTGGATCAGACCCCATTTCAGAGGACTGAAGATAATTATCAGTAAAAAAAGCATTCCTGACAAACTGAGACAATTCCAAGGTTAAACAATATTTTTACAAAAGTTAGTAAACCCAGACTAGACTCCCATAGAAGGGAATTATCTGCTGATGTATAACCACAACAAACAAGACAGTTTGGTGTCTCTGCCATACATGCCTTTCAGGGATGCACAGCAGCACAGAGCTAAGAAGGCTTTCCCCCCAGGGCACTCCACTCTCATGTCCAACCCAAACCCAAAGGCATGACAGGATCAAGGCCCAATGCTGACCTACCTCCCAACGTGGCAGAGATGAGGAGGTGAGTGCCGTACTTTTTGATGATGGTGTCGATGAACTGCTGAGTGGTGGGTCTCCTGCCAAGCAGACGGATGCTCCTTTGAAACTCTGGCATGAGGGGTACTGGATGACGAACCAGATCTCTCCTCTCAATGGCTGTGTTCCTCACCTTCCAACGGGCAAACTCCCTGCGCAGGAGAGAGGAGCAACACTCAATTTACCATTTCTACCCTCTAGCCAAAGCCCACCCAACCAACCCTTCCAGGCCTCTCTTTAGGTGAGACTGTCTATAATTTTAACATTTCTCAAATGACTCTTTGATCTAGAATTTTGAGTCCTATTTAGTCAGCAAATATTTAACAAGTTCTACTCTCAGCATCGGGATACTGAACCAGATAGACAGTCACGCCTTCAAGTTGCTCACAGAGCATCAAGGAAACAAAGTCAGGAGTCACTTTTACTACCTTATGGGTGGAAAACTGAAGGGGGGAAAAAAGAGAAACCAACATTAATCATTATCATCAGCATTTTTTTTTTGGTACTGTGGATTGAAGTCAGGGGCACTTGATCACTGAGCCATATCCCCGGCCCTATTTTATATCTTACTTAGAGACAGGGTCTCACTAAATTGCTTAACCCCTCACCATTGCTGAGGCTGGCATTGAACTCATGATCCTCCTGCCTCAGCTTCCTGAACCGCTGGGATTATAGGCTTGTGCCACTGCGCCTGGCTCATCAGCATCATCTGATAATAATGATTGTGATAATGATTTTCATGGTACTTTACAGTTCACCAGGATGGCAGGTCTCATTTCATATCTAATTATCACAGTAGCCCCGTGAAAGGGGACTATTATCCATTTCTAGTTCATCTCACAAGAACTACTTTCCCACTGCTGTCTAGTTGCTTGTCTGTCTCTCTCACTAGACTGTGAATGACATTACAGAGATGGAATCTTCTAGGATTCCATCTAGATGGATTTCTGCCTGTGTCATGGCAGAATTCATAGTGGATGAATAAATTAGTAAACGGAGGGACGAAAAGATGGGAAGGAGATAGGGGGACAGGTGGATCGCATAAGGATGGGCAGAATCTAAGACACAAAGCAGCCTGAGATCTTTTGTGAGATAGTTCCAAAATCAAACATTGAGCCCAGAGCTCACTTGAATACTAAATTGTAACATGAATTCCCTGAACACCTACTTCTTGGAGGAAATGAAGCTGTGTTCTTGTGGAGAAATTTTGGTTTTTCCTTCACTAATTATAGAGATCAAGATGGAGAAGCACCGAACTTGGGAATCCAAGTCTTCTTCTGCTCCTTGCAAATTATGTCTCGCAATATTGTGCAAATCACGCCCCTTCTCCATCCCTACGTTTCTTCTTCTATAAATATGAATTAGTAGTATCTATTTTCTCCCACTGGAGCAGAATTGCATGAAAGATAGGGTATGAAAATACCTTTGGAAACTACAAGGCGCTAATCCAATGTAAACTATTGTTTTATAACTTTATTTCCTCACAAATTCCCAGGTAGGTACATGTAAATCATTAAATGTGCACAGACGGTGAACACAGATCCCACAAACTGAGGACAAGCACAAATTTAATGGGACTTGGTTCAGGTTGCTTCTGCTTAAATAACAGTTGGCTGTTATTTAAAGCAAAGACGCAGCTCCCCCAGAGCAACTGGCTTCACAGGGCTGCCTGAGTTACAGACTCTCTGTCCCTTGAGAAATGCAGACTAGTCAAAAGGGCCATAAGGCCAGCCTAGATAAATGACAGAACCAGAGTTTAATGAAAAGGTCTCTCTTCTCTGCCACAGCATGGGAGAGACAGATGAAGAAAGGGCCACGGGGCAAGAAAAAGTAGAACAGGGTGGGAATCGGGCCGGAATATGCCCTGGTAATTCAGTGGTAGAGTCTGACCCCTGACTCACAGGAGATGAGTCTGAAAGAAGCTTTAATGTTAGAATACATTTCCAAACCACAGAGCTCATGGGCTGTCTGCATAAGAAATCTTTGTCCATAATTCTTAATGTAGTTCAAATGATAAGGCGACGCAGTACCTGCATATCTTAGGTACTTAGTCTACTGCACTTAGAGAAACCCTGAGGGGCACCTATGGGGTGGAGATGGCCCTCAGCTCACAGTCTGTCAGGGAAGACAAAACATTTTTATTTTATTGTAAATCAAGGACTGCAGGATGAGTTAGAGCATGGACCACTATGGCCTCTAGGGAAAACTTCAGAGAGAAGGTCATGTGTAAACTCCAAGTTCAAAGTCTGCAGAGCATTTATGCAAATCCTAAACACCTGAAAGAAAGAGTAGGAGCCCAATGAGAGGAGGGAACACGGAATGTGTCATGGGAAGAGCACGGAAGAAGAGGAGGAATATGGAGAAGGGGGTCCAAAAGGGACAGGATCTAACAAGTTGGCTGACCAACTGTCGGGAGAGCCTTTGACAGCCAGTTGAGAATTTTATAGGTGGGGCAGGTGGCTGGTGACATAAGACCCAATGATCCTAGGACCCAGAAACTGGCTTCCTATAAACAGAAGATGAAAAGGATGAAATGTAGCTTTCATGATTAGGTTACAAAACACTACCACTTCAACATGGCTCTCTCTCCCTCGTTCATGACATGTTCTAAGATACTCTGGAGAGATCTGCAGAGCGGGTCTCCCAGGGAAGCTTCCAATCAGCTTCTTCTGAGGACCTGGGACCTCATGTGGAGCTGAGTCTTCATGAAAGCTATGCTTGAACAGAAAGCAGCCAGCCATGGTGACTGCAGCATAGCAAGAGATCCAGGGACAAGGCACCCGGGTTCCCGGTCCTCAGAAACTGTAAGATAATGTTGTTTTAAGACACCAAGTAATGGAGTAAATTGTTAGTCAGCCATTGAGGGCCAATGGGAGGCAGTGAGAATCACCAAATAAATCTGAGAAAAAGAATCTTTCCTTAACAGCTTATTCCTGAAATTTATAAAATTATATAACATAAAATGAAAAGTTTTATGTGTGTGTATACATATATATACACACATATATCAGCATACATAAAAATATCTACATTTATATAGTTATGTGTATTATAAGTATTGTATAAATTGAACTTTTGGTTTGTCCTTTTTCATATGAATATGACTATGTTCCTCAGAATTAATATTTATTTAGTATTAATACACAGAGAATTTAAGTAACTTGCTAAAGGTCACCCAGCTAGTTAATGATAGAGCTAGGAATTGAATGGTATCATAAATATCCTGTCCCTTAAATCACATTTAAGGTAAATATGTAGAGAGAAGGTATAAAAAATAGTAAAACCAATTTGGACACACAGGGATAATGCCATCCCCACTAAATTACAAGGCCATGACTCAATTCCTTCTTTTTCTCTCTTCTTTTTTTTCTTTTCTTTTTTTTTTCTTTTAACAGCCTTCACAGTCTTTGTGAAGCTCACCGGCTACAGGCCCAGGGCTTGCCATCTGTGTAGTTTCTGGAAAAAAACAGGAAAGAAGCCAGTGCTGGGTACCCAGCACCTACCTCCCGGAGGGGATGGGAAGCCAGAGTGAGAGAAGCGCGTGACCCGCTGAGCATGGAGCCAGGCCCTGGGAGAGCCCAGGAACAGGGACTGCAATTGTAAAGCTTCAGCTCCAAGCCAGGCACTGCCAGCTCAGCACCTTGGACAGAGTTCCTGACGCCAAAGGAAGCAAATGGCTGTTCCCCTGGGTTTCCATACTATGCTCTGCAGTTGCAATGGTAATTCTAATCATGGAGGGATCAAGGAGGAATATTCTTGACCAGGTCTGGAAAAAAAGGGGTGGGTGGGAAGCATGCTGTCTTAGAATTCTCCTGTATAAATTGAATTTTGAAGGAAACATAGGATTTGACAAGACAAAGCTAGGGGCAGTTTGTGTGGGTTGGGCATCCGAGTGCCTTGTCCCTGGGGTCTCTCGCCAGGTTGCAGTCACCCACGGCTGTGTTGGGAAGGGTCCACTTTCAGGTGATACATAAGGGTATTGTTAATACCCAGCACGTGTGTCATAAAAATGCTAACAAGAACAACAAATTTTCAGGGACTACAGGCTAAAGGACTATGGGTCAGACACTGTTATTAAATCTGAGTGTGTAGACCCTGTTCTTATTGGCCAACAATCCAGACCAAAACATTCTGAGGAATGTTTCTGTAACCAGTATAGGGATGTTGGAGCAAAGACTGAAATAATCACAGCTTTCGACTCCACCAAAATACACTTTAGCAAAAGACCTCCAAAGCACCTAGATCTATCCTGAGGAAGATTTAACTATGTGGGCTGAAAAGGCTGACTTATCTATTCATAATTTTAGCACCTAATATTTTTCTGACCCTGAGGATACAAACAAAAGTGATGAAAGTCTTGCTCTGAAGGAGCTTATATTCTGGCAAGAGTGGACAGATGAAACCAATGCGTAGTATGTAACAGGGAGATAAATGTTATTCACACAAATAAAAAAGGAGAGAAAACAGTATGCCCAGGGGTAACTTAAGGTCTAGTTTTATATGTGGTCAGGAAAAAAAAATACTTTCTGATTTGGTGATATTTGAGGAGGTACTTAAAGGCAAAAAGGGAGGAACCATGGGGCCATCTTGTGGAGGAAGAATGTTCTAGAAGGAAAGAATAGTAATTGCAAATGTCCTCAGGTAGGGATGTGGTTGGTGTGAGGAACCATGAGAAGGCAGGTTCAGATAAGTAGAATGGGTGAGCTGAATGAAAAAGAAGATGAGAGGAAAAAAAAACTAAGATTGAAATATGGAGTGGGACAGGCAGAGATCTTTTGAGGAATTTTAAATTTTAAGTAACATTAAAAGTCAAAAGAAGATTATGAGCTAACATAAACTGATTTTGGGAATAAAAAAAAGGATAGGCAAATTCATTCTGTAAATGTGATTTCCAGAGAGTAAGAGTAAATATTTCATGCTTTTCAGCCACACACTCCATTCTGTCCTTATGATATGAAGCAAGCAGCCATTCTCATTATATAAGCCTGTAAGTTTAAGTAAACTTATTTGTTCTAATAAGACTTTACTTACAAAAGCAACTGGAAGGCCAGATTTGGTTCAACAGTCATATAACCTCTATTCTAAAAGTTTTACTGATACTTTCTTCATAAAAGTCATCAAATCTAACTCACCTAGTTCACAGATGAGAAAA